ATACGCCGCTGATTGATAAGCTCCACCGGAGCATGGTGGCGCGGTTACAGTTTTACAGCTTGAAGTTGACGGGAATTGAGAATTATCAGGCGACGACGTTGGAGAGGTTGCATATACAGCGTAGTGCGGTATGTTTGTATCAACACCCTACCCTGGCTCCCTGCCTACTTCTTTGGGAACCGGGAGCCGTTGGGATACGGTTGCTCTTCGAGGGGAATGCTGACGATCGAGACAGCTGTATAACCTGCTTTCCCAACGAGAGTCCAAGATTCAGTTCCAAATGGCTGGTGAGCAGCGACGACTTGCGCATGCGAGTAAGCGAGACAGCACGGCGATGAAGACGATTTCGCTACTCGGTGCCGTTTTCCTTCCCGGCACGTTTCTCGCGTCTGTTTTCAGCATGACGTTCTTCGACTTTGCCAAAGGTACGTAGTGTGGCCTTCTTGTAATAGAAACACAACAATCTCGATATAGGAGGGCTAGGTTGTTCCCGTCAAAAAGTATTTGTTGTTTGCTGACTGCCAGGGTAGACGCCGACCCCGTCATCTCGAAGGAGTTGTGGGTGTACTTCGCCATCACTGTGCCTCTGACGATTCTCATCGTCGGCGGGTGGATCGTGTTTGACAGGCGGCGCGAGAGCCAGTTCCGCGTCGAGGACGCCGACCTGGAGAAGAATATTGAGCACATGGAGGCGGATATCATGGCCATGATGAGGAAGCGGACGATGAGCAAGGCGAATACCTGGACTTCGGTCACGTCGCCCATACGGCCATGATGGGCGATGGGCATGTCTCGTGGTGTCAATGTGAGAAAAGGGATTTGTGAGAGAGAGACGACTTTAACATTCTGAAGAGGTAAGTATATAGATGGTGGATGGATTTTGTGTAAACTATCGCTATCACGCCTTATGACCTGACGACATTCATGAGCGAACCATATGATAACAAAATTTGAGCGACATACATATACACATGTGTAATGCTAGCATTAGTGAGCTGGCAATCGAGTGATTGGACAATATGTATCTCTGCACCACATGAATCTCAAAGATAAAGTGAGCCAGGATGAACGCGAGCCTGAGCATGAGTTTGGCCCACACCCTGAAGCCGGTGCGGCCCGTCCCTCATGGTTATGCTCGAACGGTTTTGAGCATAGTTGCAAGGCCTCGATCATAGAAATGGAGATTTCTCATGTAATTTTAATTGACATCGTAAATCGTTGTAACCTGTACATGTCACTACGTTGAGTCTATAGGCACCAATTTGAGATTGGAGCTGAACGATACAGGGATAATGTTGCAGACGAAAAGAACCGGCACTAACAACAATGAGGGGTTCAACTTAGTAAGGTAATATGGCGGGGTTGACACTATCGATAAGAGGATGGGGGCAGGGGGCCGCCAAGGGGTCAGGTTTCTTTGCGGTGAGGTTCTGGGCTCCAGGTTTTGCTGTTTCTTTACCGCTAAAAAGAACCCTGTGACGACATCCCACAGCATCCATGGGAAGGGGGGGAAAGGAGACTGACTGTCACTGGACGGGACGCCTCAGCTCACCACAGTTCATGAGCGAGCTTTATACCGGCCCCCCTGAAGAAGAGAAAGGAGAACCACTTAGGTCTAGGCTGGTCGTGTTCCCACCCCTTGCCAAGCTGAAACATAACTGGATTTTCTATTTTTTGCCCAAGCGGCGTAGCGGGTCAAAAATCAAGATTGAATGGCAGTCGTTTCCTAGGTCCCCTACCCATGGATCATCACCCACGACTGGACCTCTTTTTTGCTGGGGAAGGGGAAGCTTGGGGCGCGGGTTGACGTACTGCCCACATATTGACATTAGGACCTTCGGGACACCGAGCCGAGTACCTAGTCAGAGTAGCTTGGCCTTTTGGCTTGACTTACGTAGCTCCTGTAGCTCTCTCAACCTGGAAACTTTTTCTGCGTTTTTTGTAGTATCACAAGCTCGCGCTACCTATGCCTAGTGGCTGATTGATACCGGGACACGAGACGCGGATTGTATCTCGTGGTTCAGCTTGCATCATCCATCGTCTCACTATTCTTGTTTTCTCGCCGTTCATCACAAATTTATTCCTGATCACTATTTTTGAACCTCTCCTCTCCTCTGCCTCTCCTCTTCACCGCCTTATCAAAGCCATCACTACAAAAAAACAGATCATGGCGGACGCAGCAGCACCAACAGCGCCGGCAGCGGCAACAGCACCGGCAGCAGCCCCCCTACCCCAGGGCACCATCGTCTCCGCAACATCGGACCCTTCCAAGCCCTCGCTGCGATACCAGGCCGGCGGCGGTGCCAGCGAGACGGAGCGCACCGTCAAGACGCTCGGCGACTCGGTCATACCGCACCTGACAAAGATCTTCAACGTCCACGCCGGCCAGGACGACAAGAAGTGGCACAAGGAGCAGATTGCCTCGTTTGTGAAGAACGTCCAGGCCGAGGAGACGCCCGAGTGCCTGGCGGCCAACACATCTGAAGCAGCAGCAGCAGGAGGAGCAGCAGCATCACCACCAGAGGAACTCGACTTCAACGGCTTCCTCAACTACATGACCTCGTCCGCCTCGGCCATTACCAGACCCGTTCACGAGGAGGACCTGTCGTACCCGCTCTCTAGCTACTTTATCAGCTCCAGCCACAACACCTACCTGACGGGAAACCAGCTGTACAGCGAGTCGAGCACTGACGCGTACAGGAACGTGCTGGTGAGGGGGTGCCGGTGTATCGAGATTGACGTCTGGGACGGCGACGACTCGGACAATGAGGATGGCACGTCGGTGAGCAGCAGTGACGAGGAGGTCGTTGCCGCGGCTGCTGCTTCGGGGCAGGCGAAGCCGAAGAAGGAGAAGAGGAGCAAGCTTGCGATGCTCAGGGATAAGATGCCCGGGTCGCTGGCGAGTAGGCTGGAGAAGACTTCGTTGGGGAAGAAGATGGATGAGAGGATTGAAAAGTCCACGAGCCCGCCGACGGAGACGGCCACCACCCGGTCAGCTGGCACTACTGCCGCTCCCGCTCCATCTACGGCTACGGCTACCGCCTCTGCCGCGGAGAGCACCGCCGCTTCAACCACCCCCAAGGAAACGGCACTCGGGACGGAGCAACCGCCGCTGCAAAAGACCCCTTCGCCGAGGATGTTCCCCATCGAACCCCAGGTCTTCCACGGCTACACCCTCACCAAGGAGGTGCCCTTCCGGCATGTCTGCGAGACGATCCGCGACTATGGTTTCCACTCGGCCGACACGCCCCTCATTGTCAGTCTCGAAGTGCACTGCAGCGCCGAGCAGCAGGAGATCATGGTGAAGATCATGGAGGATACCTGGGCTGGCCTGCTCGTTCCCACCCCGGACGTCGACGCCCCCGAGCTGCCGCGGCCTGCGGACCTAATGGGCAAGATCCTCGTGAAAGTCAAGTACGCACCACCGCCGGGGGGCTCTGGCGTGACTGGCGCGCAGGACGAAGACTCGGAGGAGGACGGCAAGACCACGCCGCCGGCACCACCACCAAAAAGCAAAAAGGCTGCGGCGAAACCGTCCAAAATCATCCAAGCGCTCAGCAGGCTGGGCGTCTACACCCGCGGCGTGTCCTTCAAGTCCCTCACGCAGCCCGAGGCCTCGATGCCGACGCACATCTTCTCGCTGTCGGAGAAGGGCGTCATGGAGGTGCACGAGAAGCAGGGAGACGCGCTCTTCCACCACAATCGGCACTACCTGATGCGCGCGTACCCGTCGGGCCTGCGCATCGGGTCGTCCAACCTCGACGCGGCCGTCTTCTGGCGCAGGGGCATCCAGATTGTTGCGCTCAACTGGCAGAACTGGGATGAGGGGATGATGCTCAACGAGGGCATGTTTGCGGGTACCAAGGGTTATGTTTTGAAGCCTGAGGGTTGGTCATCCTTTTTTCCCTAATCATCTCTACAAGTATCTTATACTAACATCAATCCACAGGATACCGTTGCCTCAAAACCGGATCTACCCCAGACCCGTCCTCGCCCACCACCCCGCAAATCACCTACAAAACCCTCGACCTCCAGATCGACGTCCTCGCAGCCCAGAACCTGCCCCTCCCGCCAGGCGACACCCGCATCTCGGGCTTCAAGCCCTACGTCAAGGTCGAGATCCACGTCGAGTCCCCCGAGGAGCGTCTCCCGGGCGCACACATCAAGGACGACGGCCGCGAGCGCGAGGGCGAGTACAAGGCCAAGACCAAGTCGAACCGCGGCGTCGACCCGGATTTCAAAGGGGAGAGCTTGCAGTTCGCGGGGGTGCCGGGCGTGGTCGAGGCGCTGACGTTTGTGAGGTTCACCGTTAGGGACGATGAGATTGGGCGGGATGATCTGGCTGCGTGGGCGGCGGTGCGGTTGGATCGGTTGAGGGCCGGGTATAGGTTTGTGCATCTCATGGATTGCGAGGGACGGTTGACGGACGGGGTTGTGCTTGTGAGGGTTACCAAGAAGTTGACGTGAGTTTTGTTGGTCCCCTTCCTGTCTCTTGGGAGGGCGGTGGTTTGAATGGGTCGAGGTGTTTCCATAGCGTAGCATTATTAGCATTCAAATTGGAGCATCATTATCAGATTGTGACTTTCACTTTCTAGGGTACCTGTGTAAATATGGATCAATATCGGATCACTCATTAACAAATAAGCTCCGTTAAACACCAGAGAATCCGGTGTCGATCTCAGCTCGGCACAGCTTGATCTGAAGTTTGCGGGACGCAAACAAGCAGCGAAACCGAAAAAGCATGATGTTTCCGACGTGAATAATCGAGCACAACAATGTAAAGACACTATTATTTGTCACTTGTTAATGTTGAATAAGATGATAGGTAGGTGGTGTTCAAATGGTATTAATATCTCATTCAGAGCTCGCTGGTACATAATCATCATCGAAAGATGAAAAGGGGCTTCCGCATCAGAAGCATCCCCTTCAAGGCAAAGTCCTATTTTCCACGTCAAACATCCCGATACAAACCAACGACAGGGCTACTAGACTAGCAACATCTAGTAGTCATCGTTGTTGTTCCCGTACCCGGCGTTCTCACGCTTCGACTGGCCCTTGGACTCGAGCTTGTCGCTGTTGAGCAAATCACCCGCCTTCTCGAGGAACTTGCCGACCTTGCTGTCGCCGCCGCTCTTGTTGCTGCTGCCGTACGAGTCGGAGGTGTCGTTGTCCCTGCCACTGCTACCGTAGGATCCCGTGTTGCCAGACGATCCGTAGCTGTTGTCGTTGTCGTTGTCCCTGCGGGAGGAGCCGTAGGATCCAGTGTTACCGGAGGAGCCGTAGCTGTCCTCGTTATCCTTGCGGGAGGAGCCGTAGGAGCCGGTTTTACCTGACGATCCATAGCTGTCGTCGTTGTCACGGCGGGTGGTGGAGGAGCCGTAGCTGTTATCGTTGTCGTTGTCCCTGCGGGAAGATCCGTAGGATCCAGTGTTGCCGGAGGAGCCGTAGCTGTCCGAGTTGTCGTTGTCGCGGCGGCTGGAGCTGGTGTTGCCGTATGAGAGGGAGTCGGCGCCGGCGAGGTTGGAGGAGGTGGAGTCGTCTCCGTAGGACGAGGTCTTGTTGCCGGAGCCGTAGGTGTCGTTGTCCGACTTGCGGGAGGAGCCGTAGCTGTTGTCATTGTCGTTGTCGCGGCGAGAAGAGCCGTACGAGTCCGAGGTATCGTTGTCCCTGCGAGACGAGCTCAGCCCCGAGGAGCCGTAGCTGTCCGAGGTGTCGTTGTCACGACGGGTCGACGAGCCATAGCTCGAGTCGTTGCCGCTGCGGCCCGTGTTGGAGGAGCCGTAGCTGTTGTCGTTGTCGTTGTCACGGCGCGAGGAGCCGTACGAATCCTCGTTGTCGCGGGTGGAGGAGCCGAAGCCGCCGGTGGTTCCCGAGGTGCCGTAGCTGTCCTCGTTGTCCCTGCGGGAGGAACCGTAGTTGGACTGGGGATGTGTTAGTGAGGGCAGCTTTGGGAGTAAGCATAGCATAGATATCCTACTTACGTCGTCGTTGCCGCCGTAAGACATGATGTGTGAAGATCGGGAGGTGGTTTTTGGTTGTGAGATGAGTTGAGATGAGATGATGATGAGATTATGCTAAGCTATAATCACGTTCGGTGAGATTGAGGGGTTCGAAGGGTATTTAAGAATCCAGATCGACTTCAGGCTGAGCCATGATGCCAATTACACTCCCACATGCGTTGGACCCTGTTATTCCAACCATCCATCCCCTCCTATCCCCGTAGGACTCCTCGGGACCCTCCTCGATCGACAAGACAGTGGTCCATCGAGCGAGGGTCGCACGCTAGGAAGATGTACGTTTACGCCATACCTGGAACCCCGTCATCCGCCTGTTGGGAACTCGGGAGTTGGGGGCCGGGAAAGAAGGAAAGAGATGTGTAGTGGGAAGCTTGGTTGGTCACTCTGAGAAACCGGTCTTTTGCCTTGCCTAGCTGAAGGAGGATGGGGACCACCATGGGGCGGTAATCTGGGAGACGTTGGACCATGTCGCGCCACTTGGCACGTCAATTGGAGAAGCGTTTGTGTATGCGTTCCTCCTAGGACAAAGTTGGACTAGGCCAAGATGCTGTCCATCAGCTTTGAAGGGGTGTGTCTTAGATGGTCAAGCGGGCAGGGCAGGACCAGGCTGCGGGAGGGAACTGTATGAAAGTGGACTGCGAGATCCTTGATTTTCCCTTTCCGAGAGATGAGCGGGCAAAAGAGAAGGAAGCGCTCATATCCTTTGCCTAGCAAGTATCGTCATGAGTGGGAGTTGATGCCGTCCTTTGCGTCTTGTCGTGACTGAGGAATCGATAGCAACCAAGACGTTAGCTATCATCTCGAGGTTTGGTACCGAGTTGAAGGGCTCGGGTAACTGGCACATGGTCCACCATTATGTCGTCATTCCGGAGACACATTTACGCATCTCCAAGACGGAAAGGTGGGATCGAGAAACACCATCTTTCCTGACGGGCGTAACGACTGCGACTTGCAGTTGACGTGTCGGCAACGCCAACGTACCAGCGATGATGTGCGAGCAAGGCACGCAATAGTCTCATCCGCAGGAAAGCCGGTGACACTACTCTCGATGTCTCTGGTCGTTGTACTCCGTAACCCCGCCACAGCTTAGAAAGGCAAGGTTGTCGAGCTTCGAGAGCTCTGGCCACGCTAGTTCTGCCAAGAAAACCTGATTTAAGCAAACATGGGACGGTACCAAGAGAGAGCTGGCGCCTTGTTCCTGCTGCAGTAGGCAGCATGTAATACTGCAGTAGGTAGAATTACCCGGTTTTTCTCGGCATGGCATCACATTGGTCCTGGAAGCAGGCACATCGGGAAGCGCTGCTGGTGTGGACGACACGAATCGGGCTCCCTCCCCTCCCCCTTTTCGCCATCTAAGGTTCCTTTCCTTTCATTTCCTTCCGAGAAGTAACCTGACGAAAATATTGGGACAGTTGGGACTTCTTCCCACGGATTCGGCGCTGCCGGCGACGTCAACTTGGAACCCCACCTGTGCATCCAATGGTTGGATGGGGACGGTGGATCGGCCTGGGCTCCGGTACGGCGGTACCCCACCCGCCAGCTCGACAGGGGTTGACTGTGCCCTGCGATCTCTCAAGGTGCAGAAACTATGTACCTCCCAGCCAGCGCCAACGACACCATCACCAGCTGAGGTCCGCGATATTACCTGCAGCTGGCCAACTGCTTGGCTGGTCCAACTGTGTCTCCACGTGCTCCCGGCGAATCGACGGACCCCGCAAGGGCGTCTGGTGTCTTTGAGTTGGCTGGAAGATCGTGCCGGCTTCTCTTGTTGTTAGAGACTTTGTAGTTGAATATCGCTTTGGAGCTTGGCTCTTCCGAGACATTCTACCCCGCGATGTCTGGAGCTATGGCCCTCTACCGTTGGCGCGTTCTGCCGCTCCTGGCGGCCTCCTCACTTTTCCCGTTCTTACTGATTTCTCTCCTTGTTTTAAGCAAAGGATCATAGATTATACCGAGGGCCGAATTCTTGGGCACTCTGCAGTGAGGACGACAGCCTTCTTGTCTGTTAAAATCGAAAATGACTCAGGAATATGATTTCTGATGACCTGCCTCGTCGCACTCATGCGGTCTAGCTCTGCTCATTGACAGTATCTCAGACAGGACCGCAATCTCCCAGCCATGTCCAAACCACTACCGATGCTCCTAGGATACGGTGCCCTTCATCAACCAGCTTGCCTACATTTTGCTCACGGAAACGCGTAATGAACGGCTCGTGAGAGGGTCGTTCTTCAGAACAATACCCCGCTTACACTGGCGTCTCATTTCATATCTTACTTACATTCAGCATCTTGAGGCAGCAAGCGCCACTTTCCACACCCGGAAGATCACGAAGTAACGGACAATAGACTCTTACTTCCCAGCCCTACAGCACGCAGCAATCGTAATGCTCAGGATCTAACGCAATCCGGGCGTAGCTCGACAAAACTAGACCCCAGTACGACGTGCAGATATCACTCGTCCGTTGTCCGAGCATGCATGCTAAGGCTGGCTTCCAAACGCCGCGAAGCGTCTTGAGCAAGTAGATTCCAAGGACGACATGAGATGGCGAGATGTCCTTGAGATCTTGGCACCTGTTAAAATCCCACCATGAAAAGATCGGCCAAAGTTACCATGAGACATTATCACACATGTCTCTGTATTGTGTGATGAAACATCAAGCTTCTGGTTCAAAGGTTTTTAAAACCCATTTATGATCCTGGGCTTTGGGAGATCTCTAGCTCTAAACAGACATGTTACATGAGTACATAACTTCGCCCTTTAAGGATGGTCCCTGGCACACTCAACCCAAACATTAACGAAAAAGAGGAAATTCAGCAGAAAAGCAACGGTTCTATGTAGATCGTGACGCTACTCAGGATGCGGTGACCTGCCACTCGTCTATGCACAAAGCACTTTCTTCTCTATCCTATGTAGTAATTACCACTGCTTGTTTCTCAGTAATAAACTTTGGTAAAACTTAGCGGCTCTGAAAACCGTTAATATCCTGCCGGCTCGGGCTTGACCGGAAAGGCGGACGCATCATGGTTCCCACGACATTGGTTCTTCCAGTCAACAGGTGTGTACTTGTCGACAATGGACTTAAAGGCGGTCTGGGCCCGGGTCAGCCACACCAATCACTTCACAAACGAGGTCTGGGAGCTTACCAGAGTACAAAAGGACTCATCACCTTCAAGATGGTTGCCAGCAGCCTTGCAGCCGGGGATGGTCACCGGCTCATCGTTGTACCGAAGCCTTACGTAGTAACCATCTAGCTGCTTCTTCTCGGCATCTGTCAATGCGGGGGTCGGCTTACGGCCAATGCCTGGCGGAGCCGTACCCGGCGCCGGTGTACCAGCACGGCCGATGGAGAACCATGAGCCGAACCAGCCCGCATTCTTGGGTGCCTGCGTTGGAATTGATGAAACCTGGGGATCGCGGAACATCTCAACAGCGATGTGGCTCGTGAAAGGAGGCCATTTGTCTGGACCAAAGGCACCCAGGCTGGCTAGTATACCCGCAAGAGTGGTATCATGGCAGCCACTCATGCCAAACTTGATAGGCTTGGGAGCTGCGCTAGCTTGCTTGATCTCGTAGGCTCCATCCGCCGGACTGTGTTCGACGCTTCCGACCATACGAGCGACAATATCGCCCATCAAGCCACCTATGCCAAGTGTGCGATACTCCTGGCTCTCGCCGTATCCGCTATACCATTCTTCTACACCAATTCTCTCAATAATGGAGAGTACCTTGGGATCGTAGAACTCCGAGGGTAGCTTCGTCTTCGGGCCGTGTGCGCGTGATGCGTTGATGGTATCCATGATTCCACTAAGCCTAGGCTTAGAATCAACTGCAATGAGTTTACCATCTTCCATCCATTTCCCGAGTTTCTTGTTCAAGTAGCCCATCTCTGGAGTATTGTTCCAGCGCTCGGCAGTCCGCTGGGCGAATGCGCGGGCGAGAATATTGAATCGCCGGCAGTGGCCTTCGTTGGGAAAGAGAGTCTCGTCTGGCTGTACCCGCCCTAGGATCGTGAGTGCGGGGAGATCGGGTGCCCGATGCCTAGCCGGATATAGGCCAGAAATGGCTTGTTGAAGAGACTCCAGAGCTCGCGGGACCGGCGTTGACCTAAGATACAGAGACTCCGCGTCGGTGAGGTCTGTGGGCAAGAAGCTGAGTCGATCAACGTAGAGATCACGAAAGCGTTTGCCTAGCTGGTGGGTGGTCTCTCGGCCGCGGTCCGTAAGCATGCCATGATCACAGATATCGTCAAGCTCGCCCTTGGGGCCGGCAACGATTACAGGACTATCGTCTTTAGAACCGAATCCCTCGAGACGTCTCTTCCAATCGAGGTATGAGTATTCACCGGTGTCCGGATCGAGAACAGCATTTCGGAGGTGACGAACAACACTGCAATAGGGCCAGTACTCCGGAAGGCCGGTGTTGGAAAAGCGAGGGTTGACGGGAGTTCGTTCGCCGTGCCGGAGAAGGATCTGCACGAGCTGGAGCTTGAGCTGTGGAGGGTACAGCTGGCGCAGCTCGGCGTCGGTGTAAGGTTGGCGAGGTTCAAGGGTAGTCATAGCTTCGGAGATTATTCTACGGCTCGGATAGGTAGATGGAGGAGATCAGGGAGCCCGGAGGAATGCTTGCGCGACGAGGCCTGCCGGGGGGAGCACAATGAGTAAGCTCAACAAACAGGGTAATGCATGGGACGACGACAATGGCAATGGAGGGTGGGAAACGAAGCTCGAGAACTGTATGTGTTTGTGACAAGACGTTGGGGAAATCTGTTTGGCGAGGCGGTTTGGTCTAAGCCTCCTTGAGCTACCTTACCTTGTCCTTCCCTGGATGCTGGAGGGCAGTTGGGTAGGTACCTTGTGCTTTCCTTACGTACTCCATACTGCAAATCGCGGACGATGCATTGGATTTCGCGGGGCAGGGATGCGACACTGAAGCCGGGCCAACATGGCAGTCGCGGTCGCTGGCGGGTGAAGGCTTTCCATTGGGTTGGTGGCTTGGCCTGGCAATGACGTCCCTCATAGGTACAAAGGCGCCACGGAGATGCAGGTGCAAGCGCGGGTAAGGTCTTTAGGTAGGTAGCTGCACCTGCAGATGTGTCTGGTAATTAGTGGGGCGATAAGGAATGTTATCTGATGGGAAGGCCAAAGGCCAAAGGCCAAAGTCCACCTCTGCCCAAACAGCACTGAAGCTCCAGATCCGTCCGTGGGAGGAACTGGAAGCCACGGAGCGTGGAAACGTGCTTCGTGCTGGATGGCTCGGTATAGATTGCTGCGTTGGGCGTGCCGTACATCAGATCAGTCCAAGTACCTTAAGAATCCGGAATCTGGAATCACCATGGAACGTCCAAGCAGGGCAATCTGAATCCTCGAGCCTCGAAGTTTGCAAGTTTGAGGTTACCATCAGGCCATTTGACCGAGCTTACTTTTGCTAATAACACCTTATATCCGCATGTTCTCAGATACCCGAGATTGTATTTTCTTTAATGTACTGTACCTAAGGCAGGCATGTCCGGTAGGCAAAGAGGTATAGATACCCATCTCCTCCTTAGACCGCATTTATGCATTCATGATGAGTTGACGCTGTGTGTTTATATCGACACATGTGAAATTGGTATTCTCCCAGTCCACCTGTACCCGTTCGCGCTGATAGTAATTCTCCATACCCCCTCCACAATTATAGGCATCAAAGTCAACCAGGGAAATCGACAGGAAAGCTTGACAAGCTGACTTGGGCCGATCGACATGGCAATGCCGGATCATCGGGTGCCGCAGGGTCCGTTGCTGCCGGCCGACCAAGTGGGCTATAGACATTGGCCAATGACGCAGGTTCCAATTGGTGGCTAAGACATGGTGGGGCGGGAGCTAAGACGCAGACAGCGCATGTGATTATGTCAGTGGCATTGGGCAGAGAATGGAAGAAAGAGGCAAGAACCTTGGAAAAAAAGATACGCCCGCTGACTACGGAGTACTACACTTAAAAAAACAAGCATTACTCGAATCGCGGTCTCATCCTAGAACGAGGGACACCTAGCGGTTGGATCGTCCAGAGCGCCCCTGATGCAAAACAGCGCAACGGCGGAGAAGAAGACGAAGACGAAGACGAAGAAGAAAAAGAACATGTGCTTGGCTTCTTCCAAGACCACGTCCCGCACACTGGCCTTGACAGAGCAAAAGCACAGCTGTCTGCGCAATAACTCTCCCACTTATTGCCGTTATCCGTGCCTCTCTGACAGAAAGGACGGTCCGGTATGGCAATTGGGAAGCAAATGTCGGTCGAGCGCGGAAGAAACAGCAGTGAGATGAAGACACAGCGATCTCTGGTCTAGCCGCATTCGATATTTGGCAGCCTGAGCCTGAGCCCCTTCCTGCCGGAGATCTATTCGATGTACTCCCGAGAAGGATGCCCCTGGTTCTCGGGCGAGGGAGGCGCAGCTCTGTGCATATCAGACTTCTGGTCTTTGCTCTTTAGCACCTACCGTCTACGCAACTACTACGGTACACAGCGGGAAGAACATCAGCAAGCTTCCCTTTCATGCTTCCATTCTTCAGGTTGTGCGGTCGTGTGTGTTGGCTATTACCCACACCTCGGACTGAGGCGAGGGTGGTACCTTGCCTTTCCTTAATCGAGTTTTCTGTCAAGGCAAGGCACGCACGCACGTCAAAGGTAAGGTACATTCCTTAGCCCAAAGGTACGGATGGGTAGGACGGGAACAAGTGGGCACACGTGGGTTGCCTACCCTCCGTATAGATACGCGGTTAGGTACTCTACTTTTCTAAGTAGAAAGGTACGACTACCTTACGCACCCTACTACTACTGCTCCCTTAGCTTCTCCTTCTTATATCACCTACGCGGTGCTTCCCTACCCCTGCTCCAATTATCTGGTTCGTCATTGTCAAATCTACGTCTTCTCAGATCGGAGTGTTGTACTGAATCATCGTTTCTAAACGCTACCATCTCGTCACACACAACCTAAAGGCCCTACACCTCAGCAAGGCACATTTCTATCCTTCCCCCCTTGACTGGGCCGCCATATAGCCCTCGACCCAGCTTTTCCCCAGACTCTTGAGGTCCTCTTTTACCTCGCCTTGTCGGTTTTGACCTCTTTTTCAGGTCAATCTCCCGTACTGACCTCGGTGCAGCACCAGCTGGTGTCCACTCTCGCTCTTCCCAAAAAGGCCATTGAGCATGTGCCATTGAGCTAACACCCGGAACGCCCGGCTGCAAATTGCGACTTTTATAACTCTTATACACCCCGCGATCCGGCACCTCGATTTCTCAGCACGTTTGACGAGGAACCTCATAATGGTAGCTATGTCTCAAAAAGAAGGCGTCAGTGAAAGGAGGAGGTCTCCGTCTCCGATCCTAGAAAAAGTCTTATCTGAAGATCCAGTGTATGGTGACGATGACCAAGATGGCGCCCAGTCCGTTATGCAACCCGCATTGAGTGTTGCTGCAACCCGACTCACTTTACCACAAACATCCAAAGCTGAAAAGGCTGCTGCATTGGAGAGAGAGAGGGAAAGGAAGTCGTCCGGACTCTTCCTGCCTGGTAATACGAGTAGTGACGATTCCGCTAGCTCGCCAGAATTAACGCCCTTCCCCGATGAGATTCCTACCACTTTCGAGACCGAGTCGGACACTCCCATCTCACCGGCGCCGCCTCGCAGACGGGAGTCTCAAAAGCTCCAAAAAGCTAGGCCAGCTCCAAAGGAAGACCTGCCTTCACCATGGCAGTCGAGTCCACGGAACATGATATTTGGTGGTGGGGACGGCGAAGCGCCCAAGACCGCCCTCGAATCCATATCTTTTGGTCAAACTAGACATAAACGCTCATCTTCCACGGGAGCTGATGCGCTAAAGAAGTTTTCGAATGCTTTTTCTTCGTTCCCGGCTCCTTCGGCAATCTTCAATTCTTTATCCTTCTTTACTGCCGCCGCAGAGAAGACGGAGCCGAAATCGACGACGACGACGACGACGACGACGACCGAACAGCGGAAATTTCCCCTGGCCCAGAGTAGAAGGCCTTATAACAGCACAGCTGCCATGTCTAGCGGTGCCAATAGTCTTCCTCGTGCGCAGACGATGGCCAACGAAGCATCCGGTAATCGTCCGTCTGTATCATCTGGGAGACCTTCTACCACAAGGCCCCGTGTTTTGAGACGAGTTACATCCGATGATTCGCTGCTGTACCACTCGCTATCCCGCACATCTTCTATTGGGGATGACGATGGCAGGTTTGACCACGTCAGAGAAATGGCCAATGTGAGGATGAAGGCAATCAAAGACAGTCTGCCCGAAAGACCAACGTTCAAAATGCCAAGCCTACCCAAACTTGGATCGTCACTCAAACTCAACGAAGACGCAACGGGCAAGACAATACCTGAAGCCCCAGCACCCAAAGTCGACAACGACGGACTGTCAACTCTAGACAGAGTGCTGGAGACGTTGACTGGGGATATAGTAATTCTGGGTGGTTACCGTGGTTCGATTCTACGATCAGCAGAGCCTCCGCACCACCAACTATGGGCTCCAGCCAAAATCGGCCTCAACATGAGGAAGGCGGACTTGGAGGTTGGCCTTGACCCCGAAGACGAAGAGTCAATGGAAGAGCGCATCATCCCGTCAGGCATGCTCCAGAACATCGGCCCAATCGACATTTCCAGAAAGTTGTTCAAGAAGATTGCCGCTTGCGAAAACGTTCGGAAAGGAAAGCTACGTTTACATGATTATGGCTACGACTGGAGACTGAGCCCTCATCTACTATCACGTAAAATGGTTGAGTTCTTGGAAAAGCTGCCATGCAACCAGGCGGATTCGAAAGAGCCCAGAGGCGCTCTTGTTTTGGCCCACAGTCTCGGTGGTCTTATCACCCGCCACGTCGTCAACCAGAGACCGGATCTGTTCTCCGGAGTGGTCTACGTTGGTACACCTCAGCGGTGCATCAACGTCCTGGGGCCCCTAAGAGACGGCGACGCAGTCCTCCTCAATGAGAAGATCTTGACTGCGCAGGTCAACTTCTCACTCAGAACATCCTTCGTGTTTCTGCCTGATGACGGCTTCTGTTTCGTCAATAAGGACACGAAGGAAGAGTACAATATCGACTTTCACGACGTAAACGAATGGATCAAATATCGTCTCACACCATGTATTGAGCCTCCGCTACCTTCCCTAGTACCAAAGGAAAAGTCGACAACGTTCAGCTCTCTATTGTCAGTCCGCAGTCGCAGCTCAAGCGAGAAGAAACAAAACCATGTCTTGCCGCCATCAGTAACCGACGCGGCCCGGAGGGTAGAGCACGTCCGCGAAGGAGGCATCAACCCACAGATAGATGGCAACAAACCATCGCCATTCACAAAGGGGGCATCTGGCATAACTACGCCCCCCAACCGCGCCAGAAACATTGCCTACCTCGAGCGTACCCTTGCCGAGGTCAAGAGATTCCGTCAAGAAACACAATTCGACCCAGCACTATCAGAGGCCAACGCGTACCCTCCTCTCGGTATCATCTACGGCAAGGAAGTCCCCACCGTTTACGCCGTCAAGGTCAGCAGCCGCGAGGCCATCTGCCATGCACAAGCCTACGACGACCTCATTTTCCGCGCCGGCGATGGCGTGGTTCTCGCGCGCGAGGCGCAGCTGCCAGAGGGGTACGAACTGGTACGCGGTGGGCGTGTCAGCACCGAGCGCGGACACTTGACCATGCTCGGTGACATGCCCGCCGTCGGCAAGGCGTTGGAGGCTGTGATTCGGGGCCGAAGGAAGGGCATCGGCATGGGGAAAGTCGTAAAGGAACATGTTAGTAAGAAAGAGGGTGTCGCTAGAGCCTAGAAAGTTTTCGTCCGGCCCTTTCGAGTTTGCATCCGTACAGCGGATAGGGTTAAAAGCCGAATTGTAGTGGTTTCTTGAGCCTCACTTTACCGCCCGCAGAACCCAGGGCCGAGTTTTTGTATAGCTTGTAGAATAGAAGGTGCTACAAATTACAAACATACATATTATGACCCATCTTCCACAAGTCTTGTCAACACTGGTCGTGTCTGCTACTTCGCCATTGTACTAGATAAAATTGGGCTACTCTTCCACAACTTGTGTAGCACATGCCATCTGCACATTCATAATGTACATACAAAATGTCCGATGCAAGGTTATTCTTGGCAATGCACCCTGCAATGCTCGCATGAGGGAGGGAAAAAAGAAAAGGGGGAAAAAGTAGAGACAGAAAAAAAAGGCAGAGGCACAATGACGAAAATCACACATATGCATCTGCCGGCGCGGCGGCCGCATGCAAAGGGCACAATGACGAAAATCACACATATGCATCTGCCGGCGCGGCGGCCGCATGCAAAGGCAAAGTAAATCTATACATGAACTATTTTGTTTTGCTTTTGGATCGACGCTTATACGTATCCCGCGGGATTGCGCTTTCCTCGTGAGACATGCGAGATAAGAGCAGAGGAACCGAGCAAAATACACGGGACGAATAGGCAAGGTATACATACACATGTCATTCGGTTTTAAGAAAGAAGTTGCATATGTCTCCTTCTGTATGGTGCAAAGATTTGAACACATTTTGCAAGTACCTATGTATGTGATTTTGCAGACTAACAAGTCATGCTTCAACCTAACCCCTTCCCCGTCGTGATGAGCGGAAGCACCCGCATGTATTGGAATCCCGCCCAGAGCCATGTAAGAACGCCATGAATCGCCAATTCTTTCAGCAAAGACTGAAAAACTCGTAATTAATACTCGAAATCATCATCCACCGCAGGGCCCTTGCTCTTGGTCACGCTCTCCTGCTTGCGATACATCTCAGCCACCTGGCGACTGGACGTGGCCTCGTCGGCCTTCTTGTCGTCGCGCACCTTGATGAAGCGCGGGAATCGCAGACTGATTCCCTTTTCACCGCCGGGGTCGACACCTTCTTTGCACCCGGCCTTGTAGCGCGGGCTGAGCGTCAAATCGGCCGTCTTGACCTCCCAGACGTAACGAGGCTCGAACCACACGTCGGGCTGATGTTGCCCGCCCGAGGAATGTGCGTAAAACGGCTTTGGCCGGTCAATGACAATGTCCGAGAGCTGCTTGTGCAGTTCCTCGAGGACGGCCTCGGAGAATCCCGTGCCGATATTGCAGACGGTTTCATACGAATCAGACGACGGGTTGTAGCAGGCCAAGAGGAAGGCGCCGTAGACAGATGTACGCTTGCCTTTGCCGTAATATGCACCCAATACTACGAGATCAAGCGAGTCGCCGATGCCGCTTAAGTAATCCTTTTTGACCTAGAGATATGCAGTCAGCACGACAAATTGTCGGCGCAGTGGACATCTCCAAGGGATCCAAGCGGCTTACCTTGAGCCAGTTTCGGCTCCTCTTGCTGGGCTCATACCCGCTCTCCGAGCCGTCCAACATCTTCACCATCAGACCTTCGCAAGACGCCTTGACACTCTCGTCGAGGAACACTTGGATCTGCTCCAACTCCTGTCCATCCATATGCGTAGCAAGGGCAAATTCACCCTCTACTGGCGCAAAGGCATTCAGCAGGAGCTCGCGACGCTCCCTGAGCGACTTCTCAACAATGGCCTCGCCGTTGAGATAAAGGAGATCGAAAGCAAAAACGCAGACCTTCACCTTGACATCTTCGATTTTGACATCCTTCTTCTTTCGCGTCATCAGCTGCTGGAAAGGAAGGACTTTCTTCTCGTCAACATCCCACGCAACTGTCTCACAGTCAAGGACGAAGCTCTTCGTATCCTCCTTGACCCAAGTGTGCAATTTGACAAGGATATCGGGATACTTTTTGGAGAGATCTTCAGAGTTACGGGAAAAGATGGCAGCAACACCATTTGCCGCAGCGGTCGTAGCCCCTGGCAAAGATTGACTAATCTCCTCATCCGCGGATTTCGCCACGTAATGGATCTGCGCTCGTTCGCCGTCGTACTTGTATTCACATGTGAAGGTTTGGTCCTCGAAGCGGTCCAGAACTTCAGTGATAGCTTTCGTTGGTTTTGCCAACATTGGCTTCAGGGGCACGCCGGGCTTCAGCTTGCAATGCTCGCGCAGATGCATGATGCCGTGTTCTACCATGGCGGGAATGATGACATCGTAACTCGGAAGTTCACTAAACAAGATTAATACGAGGATATGGGTAATTGTGAGACCAAGCCACAAACCTGTAGACCGTCTTGAGAACGGCCTCAGCCTGTTCCACGTCTGTCGTCTTGGGTACCTGACCTTTGGCGTCGGCCTCGTGGAAGACCACAGCTTGAGCCAAAGACACCAGAACAGACCTCTCTGCCAGTCCCAATCGAAGTTTACCCTCGAGGAATCGGACAAGATACTTGGCTTCGCTGGGACCGCCTTTGTCCTTCGTGATATCCACCTTTCCGGCGGAATGGGAATCGGCTGCTGATAGTAACTTCTTGATGGCGTCAACCTTACGGCCCTGGGCACCATTGCCAGAAACAGTGGCGATGCCCATGAGACCCTTGTGAACTCCCCGTATCGTCAAAGCTTTGGGTTTGAACATGGTTGGCTGTGTTGATCTACTCTTGACGGCAACGAGGCCGAGATCTCCAATCTCCTTCTGGTCTTGCTTGATGACTGCGAGGCTTCGTCCCGTGGATTCACCAATGGACTTCATGATGAGCGACTCACCAATGCCCAGCTCAATGCCGGCATAGTCAGGAGCCAGCTTGTTGATCATGAGCAGAACAGTGGGAAGAAGATCGTCGGGAGTCAGACGCAGAACCTGTCGGAGGAATAGCGAACAGTGTGCCATAATCTCGAGCCGCTTGGTTGTGAGCTCGATCAGAGAAAAGGTGGTACAGAGCGCGGCATAGGGAACTGGTTCGCCCGCCTTCCAGTCGGGATATGGGTCCTTTGTTTGGGTCTTCAGTTTCATCTGCACCTTTTCCAAGGCCTTCTTCTTCTTCGCTGCCGTAGGCTTGGCCTCCTCTTGGTCGTCTTCAACTACGTCGTCTTCTGACGCAGACTCCGTTGCATCCTCCTTATCGTCCTCCACGACAGGTGTGGGAGACTTGGCGCTTTTCTTCGGTTGGGCAGTCTTGGATGCGTTTGCGGCCTTTACAGGCTTCTCTGTGCCGTTCTTTCTGGCCTGGGAGGTCTTTGGTGATTTTGATCGGGACTTGCTAGGAGCTTCGTCCATCACATCATCTTCGTCCTCGTCCTCAATTACACGTTTGCGGCCTCTGCGCGGTCTCTTTGTGGCAGGCTGATCGTCCTCATCCTCGTCCACAATCTCATTCTTGACCTTCGGGCTCGATGCTTGTACGGCGGGACTCGGGCTTCTGGTACGTTTCCGCGGCTCTGTAGTAGACTCGTTATTCAATTGAAACAGGAGACGTCCATCGTATGAAATGACAACATACTGCTAGGAGATGCCCGTGTCTCAACGGCATCTTTGTCTGCATCGACCTCCTCTTCGACCTCCTTCTTAACCTCCTTCTTCGGGGCTGTCTTGGTGGCGAAGCTCAGCTTGCTCTGCTGGGGTTCGGGCTTGGATCCTTTCGCTCCGAAGAACTTTCTGTAGAGCTCTGTCAGCAGACGTTCTTTGACACCACACGATGGCTAGAATTGGCAATAATTCCATTGCATCCGTGGTAGTCCTAGGAGCATTGTCCTTTCACACACCCCAACGTTGTCTGAGATGGCTTGACGTACCCCAGCGTCGCCTGCTTTGGCGCCATTGTGATGGCTGGTCGAGTGTAGATAGTGAAGAGTCGAAAGCTGGTATGAAACGCTGCCCCAAGTACGTTTCTTTGACCGATTGAACTGCTCAGAAGGCGGGGAAGAGCAGACATGAAGGTTGTAGGAGGACCCTGGGGAACCTCGACGCGCTTGGAGCAGAAGAATCGCGTTAAGAGCTCCTGCCTGGTGACGCGAAAAGGACCCGTAGCTGCACGGGCCCACAGAAACTTTCCAGGCAGCATGGGCAGGCACGGTAGGCACGGTAGGCAGCGACCTGGACCACCACTCCGCCGCTTCGGGAAAGTTTTCTGAACCACCCCGATTGGGCTTAATGCACTGGAAGAAGACTGCCCATTGTCGGTCTATTGTAAGTGCGCCGTGCCGAGAGGAGCTTTTCAAATTTTATGAGGCATGAGCAATGTGCATGTCATATCACAGTGTGCTGGATGTCACAAAGAGGGACTAAGAATTTGTCGAACCAGGAGGATATCTGCAGACCCTGGCCATGTTCAGATTGTGACCACTTCACCCTCTCTAGCTAGTAGGTATTGTACAATAGGACAGAAAGGTTAGGAAACAATTATTCATCATGCGCAGGAATTTAGTTGAAGTAGTAGGTCTCATCAGGGGTGCGGCCGCGGATGAACTGGGGCTCGGTACCGGGGACGTAGATGTCCTCGTAGAGAATCTTGGGGGTGGTGTCGGGGACGGCCATGGCCTCAGCAGCGGCAACCTCCTCGTTGACGAAGCTGCGGGCCTCCTTGTCAATGGTCTTGAGCTCGTCCTCAGTGACAACCTCCCAGTCCATGATCTTCTGCTTGAGGCCGGCGATGGGGTCGTTGGTCGAACGCATGCGCTGGATCTCCTCACGAGTACGGTAGGTGGTACCAGGGTCGGACATGGAGTGACCACCGTAGCGGTAGGTAATGTACTCGAGGACGAGGGGTCCGTTCTCGGCAACAGCGTAGTCCTTTCCGTACTTGACCGCGGCCTTGACGGCGAGGACGTCCATGCCGTTGACCTTGAGTCCAGGAATGTACTGCCCGCGCTTGTAGTAATCTGTGAGGGCTGATGAACGAGCAGCAGCGGTACCCATACCGTACTTGTTGTCTGGGGAAGTTCGTTAG